GTGGCATAGCTCCTTCAAGACCAAACATACTGATGCTTGTGTGACTGCGTGTAAGGTGTGCCAGTTCCTGGAACGTAATCCGTAATGACTTCAAAAATGAACGTATCGAACAAAATAATGTGAGATATATCTGCCATTACAGGTATTCAAATCCATGTAGTCGCGGCTTGCTTAAATGGCCCTTCAATCTCCTCTCCTCAGTCAAGTAGTGGCAATGGGGTGCAACAAGCGCGAAAGATGATCTTCGAGTTATTTAATAAATTAAGTGATAACTAAGTCATTCAAGAAATTATTTGACACTAAATTTCAAGGATGTACCGCATTCCAGGTGAAACTTGCTTATGAAGGTATTTCCTTCATTGGAGATCACTTCGTGCTTCTGATAATTTGTGGATATTGTGGAGTTATACTTTTCTGAAGTGGAGAGAAAAATTTTGAGTATTTAAAAAATGAGACTAAAGTTTCACTGAAATTTGTTGACATATTGTTCCTTATACACACATGAATATGTCTGGATAGATTCCGGAAGTGGAGACACATCCATATTACGTAGTTCGCTATCGAGTGAACTAAATAACAACTAAAAGTTAGTGCTAGTACCATTGGAAAAGTAGATAGGAACTTGGCAGAAAATGAGGAAGATCGGTACTGTGGAATTTGTTGGAGGCACTCCAAAGCAGTCATCGGAAAGTGATGGATCAAATACCTTATTTTGGTGCTCTACATGGCAAAGACTGTACGTTTAAAAAAAATTCCAGTAAAATGGATAAACCTGAACATCAAGAAAAGGCAGATGAACTCCTTGGATCAGTCCTCATCAAAATCATCGTCATTTGAGTAATCTTGACTACAGCGTTGTGTTTTGCACACAGAGAAAGCAAAATTCTACCCGGTTTTACGATATGGATGTTCTATGTTTACAGGAAACCAGTTGAATCTGACGGATGCAGGCTGATGACAGATATTCGTGTCAGCCTCTAATATTATTATGTCACGCCGCATCTGCACAAACAAATTTTAGGCCAGTTCACATTGACAACCCGACCATTTCGTTCGCTTCAAACGAACCGTTCATCGTCATTGCACGAGTCAAATTTGGCTCTGGAGCATTTTCCTTAATGTCCCCTCTAAATTTTGAGTTCAATATGTAATGGTCGCTTGACATGACGCTTTTCCTGCCGTTCCTGTGTCGCTGCCATTCCTGGCAAATCGATGGCCTGAGCTGTGACCGTCGGCCATCATTCATGTTCAAGAGGTTCTTGACGCTGTCATCGTCAAGCTCCGTTGACAGCAACGGACGAAACGAGGTCATCGCCGGTCGCCGTCAGCCGTTTACTGTTCTCTGTGTGTGAGTGTGTCTTTCAATAGTGATCGTGTGTGCGGCAACAGCGACACACAGGTGCTGGCACCCGCCGAATCAGTCCGTGTCCAGAGAAACACGAGCCTCTCGTTCGATCCAGTGCGAAACTGTCACACTGGCCGATGACTCGGTCCTCAGTGGTCGTCAAGCGCCATGAAACTCACCGCTTGCCACCGTCTTCTGCAGGAACGCCTGGGCGATTTCTTCCGCCGCTACGCGGCGTTGGTCAGCCGCCAGCCGTGGCCTTTCGT